ATGGACGCAGGGTGGCATAGGACAGTTGCGAATGACGCGTCTGTTCTGGGCAACGGTTGGTAATCTGAATAACAATGGCAGAAGGGCGTTTGCTGCACTGGGCCCTCGCGAAGAACGAAAAAAAAAAAAAAAACTGTCGGCCTATTTTCGGTTGGTACCGGGCTTGGTTTCGTTTGTGCCGGCCTGCCTTTTTTTTAGGGGTACTGTCCTCTTTCGCGGTGGGTACCGGCCTCTTTTTTGTTGGGCGTGTTCTCCATCGCTGCCTCTTTGCGTGGTCACGAGCACATGAAGGTACCGGCCTCTTTTTTGTTGGGCCTGTTCTCGATTGCTGCCTCATTTAGGGATGCCAAGACAGGAGAAGAGAAGGAGATTATAGTACAAACCTGTGATAGGGGAGACATGAACATCTGAGCATTGAGGTATCTATGGTTGATGAGTTGATAAGAGGAGGATAGACGAAGGGAAAGCGGTAGAGAAGATAAGAACGAAGAGGAGTGCAGCGTTCTGCCCTCCATTGATTCCGCGATGACTCGCAAAGGTATGTGTGATGGGAAACTATCCTCTCTCTCCCATTCACCTTTTTTTTTTTTCGTTTTTTCATTTTTTTTTTTGTATTGCGATTTTGGGGACTGATCGAACAGGGTGGGGAAAGGTGGTTCACGCATGGCGAAACTATGAGGTGGGTGGGGGGGAGAAGATCTCCCTGCAATCTCTCCACCCCCAATCTGTTTTTTTTTTTTTTTTTTCCCCACCTTTTTCCTTTTTTTTTTTTTGGCTTTGCGATGTAGGGGACTGATCGAACAGGGTGGTGAAAGCTGCTTCACGCATGGCGAAACTATGAGGCTGGGTGGGGGGAAGAGATCTCCATCTTATCTCCCCCCCAATCTCTTCGCTTTTTTTTTCACGTTTGTCCATTTTTTTTTTTTGCTTTGCGATGTAGGGGACTGATCGAACAGGGTGGGGAAAGCTGCTTCACGCATGGCGAAACTATGAGGCTGGGTGGGGGGGAGAAGATCTCCATCTTATCTCCCCCCCAATGTCTTTGTTTTTT